AGACAAGGACTAGTTGACCACGTCCTTGTCCATGGTATGACTATGAGGGAGGTTGGGCAATGAGTTCAGCCAAACTTAAGTTGCTTCACCGTCGCCTCGATCATAAGAACCTCCAGGGAGGAAAACAGGTATGTGTACCTCAGTGTGCTCTACTGTAACTTTTGAGTGCTGTACTCTGTTACGACACATGCATCAAATGGCCTTACATACAGATAGAGTTTCTGTCTGCTTCCATTTTGTAAAAAGGATGTTACAGTTACAGTAATCAATACTTCTATTTTTGTAGGACCGATGGAATGGAAGAAGCCTGACTCGACACTTCAGCTGATGCCAGGAGGATCAGGCCAGAGGATTCCCCCCCGCTGCCTAGCTGGGGTCAGTATAGCCTGTGATGTGGACGAGATTCTCTGGCCTGACCCAGAGCAAAGATGTGATGCTGGGGCAGAATATTTTTTGTTGTTGTTTGGTGTATTGTACTGTACAGTACATTAAAGAATAAAAAATGTGCAAATGTATACACATGTGTTCATTATGTGAAAAGTTCCTTGAGGGGGAGAACCACAAGCAACATAACTTATTACTGGTTTTTGTTTTTGTAGTATTGCTTTGAATTGATCTCACCAGTGTGTAAGACTATGTTGTAGTGTGTGTGTTTTTGAGGGCTTGTGTGTGATGTCTGAGGGAAAAGTTAGGTTTTTCAGCAAGAGTTAATGGTTTTGAGTGTAGAGCTTCATTTTGACCTGAAAATAGGATGTTTGGGGAATTGGGTGAGACGTTATGGATTTGTGTTTACTGTTTTGAGAATACGAGGCATAGTTTCAAGAACTGTATTTAAGCAATCAAGAAAAACTGTAATTCAATTAATAACATAGATTTTAAAATCAATAAACTGCAGCACTGCAACAGTTTTAAATAAATAAATTGCAACGTATTATAAACTAGATTTTAAAATCAATAAAATGCAACGTATTATAAACTAGATTTTAAAATCAATAAAATGCAAAATATTATGAACTAGATTTTAAAATCAATAAAATGCAACATATTATAAATTTGATTTTAAAATCAATAAAATGCAACATATTATAAACTAGATTTT